TAAGCCCTACAACACTATGTGTTGGAGGTATTAAAAGTTTGATTGGCCCAAAAATTATGTAACAACTCGAAATATTGGTTTCCCATAAAGAAAAGTATATATGGATCTTCCTATCTCGCCGAGATGAGTCGATCTAGCTATGTATGTCCGCCCGTCCCTCTGTCCATGTTAATTTGGTCAGGCTTAATCCCATTATTGTTGTTTTTATAAAACAACGTTTGTTTATTGGTGGAGAACGATGGTAATGTTTACCAGGGGGTAAGGCAGGGAATACCAATGTTTCGGAAAGAGCCCTCAATCCTCATCAGTTGCAACAACAAAATACTATGGTATCCCGAACAAACATGCCTACACTGTTCTATATTTTTTTTGTTACGGGATCTCTACTAAATATGCATAGTGGTGTAGGGTATCATATAGTCCGCCCCGCTCGACTTTTGACTTTTCCTTACTGTTTTATTTGTATGTTTATGTATTTTCGCTATCCAGAGCTGCAGACGAAACAAAATCAAGCATTTTGAAGAGCATCGTCGCCTATCTCTAGCAACAAAACATATGATATTGTGATTGCTTTTTGGGGTCTAGTACACAAAATCCATATCGGAAGGAAAATTCAGCTACAACTTATGATCAACTTTTCAATATTAAAAATCAAAAAATCGATCAAACGAAACTCCAGCAAGAGTTTGGGGTTCTTGATTTAAATCAAACATTTCCATAAATATTTTTCAACATTTGGTTTTATTAGGGTTTCAAAAAGAAAAAAAAAAATAAACAATTGAAATTAATTCTATTATATTCATTATAACTAATAATAATTATTATAATTAAGGCATTACAATCTAATACACGTTTGATTTGTATTAACCTAATTTAAATTAATTTAATTACTTTATTCTATGTTTTGTTTTATCGTTTACTTTGAATTGTTTGTGTTTGTTTGTTTGTTTAACTTTCACAATAATTGATGTGACAATTGCATGTAACTAATATACATTATCCACTTGTTAGTTGTAGTTGTTGTAATTATTGTTAATCTCTTAAACACTAGGTAAGTATTTGCTATTTCAGGTCAGGTAATTTGTTATTAATTATTTTGTTATATTAACAAATTAATATTGCTTTGTTGAAGTTGCTTTAAGAAAGAAAAGATATGTTGCTGGTGAAATTATTAGAAAGTGCATATCGATAGGCGGCAGGAAGCTGTGTTGGAATTCGGAATGAAGACGCAAATGAAAGTTACTAAGCGAAGTAAACAGTGACCCAATTAATTAGTTAGCTTTTTTTTTAATAAAATAGATATATAAATAAAATTTACAATTGCATTCTGAGATGCAGATGCCGATTGGGACATAATTTTGGGATATTTTTTTGAAAGGATATTTAGAAAGGACGTATTTAATATGTTGAGCTGAAGTATGAAACTCTCACGTCAAACATTTACTCTGTTACAGAACTGCAAGAATGTAAAACTTCTTGCTAGGATAACCAATTTTTCCTTTATGATATAGAAAATTGCAATTGCATTAGATTCTTGCAGGTTCTGGGATAGAAATTCAGTGGAACACGAACTCCCAATAACATGCATTAAAAATTACAAAATTGAATATTAGCTTTCAAAATAGAAAATAACAAGTAAGCAAAGGCTATAGTTGTGCGGGGCCGACCATGTGATACAATACAACACTACAATATGTTAGAAGCCCCCTTATGTCCAAATCCATTTTGGAAGATTTCACTTTTGAAGTCATGTCACGGAGCACTGCCCAGATATTACTCTTTAGCATTCTGACTAGGGACATTTCCGTCGTGCTCTCTTCTCAGGCGTGTCGATTGGCTTCAATTGTGTGATCAGGAATTTTTTTTCTGTTTTTGGTTCATTTGAACCCCTATATTTTGCGATCATCTCCAAAAGCAAGAGTCCCCTCTGTATCTTCAAATTTAGACTCATCTATATGATTTGCTTGTCTACAATATTTGGCTATATTCGTCAACGAAATTAGCATAAACAAGCTAAAAAAATGTAACTTTGAATATCCTCCACCATTTAGAACGAATTTGGCAATTCTTAAAAACAATAAAATCCGTTAAAATCTTAGAAATACCGAATGTAGCCGTTATATTAAGGTCAACACGACGACATGGACCTGCATAGGTATTTTTTTTTTAAAGCCATCACAATATTCAAATGTGAAACTTAGAAAAAAAAAATCGGTGAATAATGTAGCTACAGACATCAAAATTCCGAATAACGGGAGGTACCTTTATATGGGGGCTATACGAAGACGTGGAACTGCATAGCCAATTTTCTGACTTAGGCTGTAGTATTCATTTCGAATTTTAAACACCAAATTTTAAACAATTCCGGTGAATAATGTCGCTAAAATCATCAAAATACCGAAAATCGGGAGGTACCGTTATATGGGGGCTATATGATAACGTGGACCTACATGGCCTATTTACGAACATAAACTTCCTACTGGTAAAATATACATGTGTGCAAAATTTTAGCCTTCTATCTCAATTCGTTCGAATGATTACAACAGACAGACAGACGGACATGGCTAAATCGTCTTTACGCTGATCAAGAATATATATACTTTGTTGGGTCTGACATGAGTATTTCGAGGAGTTACAAACGGAATGACAAAATTTATATACCCTCCATGGTATGGTGGAGGGTATAAAAAGTCAGAAGTTCGCCTTTTGTATATTTCGGATATCGCCTATAAGTAATGCTGATATTTTTCACACAAAAGTAGGTGTCCATTCTACCCGCTGTATAAGTACATATATGGGAGCTACATCCAAATCTTGGACGTTCTCGATAACATTTGGCAAAGGTATTTCTGAGCTCTATAAGATATCTGGTACCAAATATCATTGTTGTCGAATGCATATGACGAATATGAGGGGCCTAAAAACCAAATCGGATGAAACATATATGTGGGAGCTATAGCTATATCTGAACCGATTTTCAAAGTTTCGTGTACTTAGTGTACATGCTTCCAAAACTGAATTCGGTCGGATGTACCAAAATACAGTCCATTTGGTCTGATATTGGCCAATTGGCGCACAATTATCCCGAAATCGGTTAAAGATATATATGGCAGCTATATCCAAATCTGAACCGATTTTGATAAAATTGACAGAGTTATTTGTGGGATGTATCTGACATTTGTTACCAAATATCATTGTTGTGGAGTGAATATTACGCATGTGAGGGGAGCTATAGCTATATCTGAACCGATTTTCTCCATATTTGATGACACTAAATTCGATCAGATGTACAAAAATTTAGGTCATTACGACTTATATTGGCCATTTGGTGAACAGTAAAGAAAGTCCTAAAGTCGGGCGGGCCCGATTTTATGATACCCTACACCACTTTGCTAATTTAGTTGAGCTCCACATAACAATTTAAAGTTTTTATGGAGGTATTCAATCATACACGCTATGATAATAATTATAATTTAAAGATCAAAGGACTAAATATGCCGAAGCATTTGTATCTTTAAAATTCGGTCTTGTATTGCCCATTTGGTGCAAAATTAATTTGAAATCAGATAAATATATATATGGAAGCTATATCCAAATCTGAACCGATCTGGATAAAATTTGGCAAAGATATTTCTGAGCTGTATTTGATATATTTCCCTGAATATCGTTGTTACGGAGTGCATATTACGGCTGTGGGTAACAAATACAACAAATCGGATGAACAATATATATGGGAGCTATAGCTATATCTTCACCAAATTTGACATACTAGCTTCTAGACTCAATTCGATCGTAAGTGCCAAATTCCATCCCATTTGGACAAATATTAGACGTTTGGTGTACAATCAAAAGTAAATCGGACGAAGTTATATATGGGAGATATATCCAAATCTGAACCGATCTCGATAAAATTTAGCAAATGTATTTATGAGCTGTATTTGATATATTTCTCCAAATATTGTTGTTACAGTGTGCATATTACGGCTGCGGAGGACAAAAGTAACAAATCGGATGAACAATATATATGGGAGCTATAGTTATATCTGAACCAATTTCGATCAAATTTGGCGTACTTATTTTCAGGCCTAATTTGGTTGTATGTGCAAAATTCCATACCATTCGGGCTAATATTACACGTTTGATGCACAAGAAAAGGCAAATCGGACGAAGATATATATGGGAGCTATATTCAAATCTGAACCGATCTCGATAAAATTTGGCAAAGGTATTTTTGAGCTGCATTTAATATATTTCCCCAAATATTGTTGTTACAGAGTGCATATTACGGCTGCGGAAATTTGGCATACTTATTTTCAGGCCTAATTTGGTTGTATGTGCAAAATTCCATACTATTCGGGCTGATATTACACGTTTGGTGCACAATAAAAGGCAAATCGGACGAAGATATATATGGCTATATTTTAATTTTGACCGATTATCTCCATTTTTAATAGGGTTCGTCCTTGGGCCAAACAAATGTTGTTTGGAAAATTTCATCTCAATCGGATAATAAATACGACCTGCATTTTGTTCACAAGAATACATGGACAGACGGACTGACATGCATAAATCAACTCAGAATGTGATTCTATGCAGATCATCAAAAGGAACTATAGGTCTATCTCGTTTCCTTTTGCCTGTTACAAACAAATGCACAAAGACATAATACCCTGACCACCTTGTGGTGTAGGGTATAAAAAATAGCAAAACTGAACTGGGCGATATGTTAGGGGTAATTGCATTATACTTCAGCATCGTCCTATACGAGTCTCTGCAGGAATGTTTGTCACATTGGTCTGTAATTACAAATTAGGATTATGAAGAGGAAATATTTACGCCAGCTTTTTTTTTAAATAATAAACTAAGAAAAGATAGGGGAAAAGAAAAAAGTAGATTTGTTGAAGATACTTAAGGATTCATTTAAATTCTTTTGATTTTAGAATAAACAATTGCAAACTCATATATGTATTGTTAAAAAATCATCGGCTAAATTATTAACATTTTAAATATTATAATACATGCTGATTTTTGGATTTGTTTTAAAAAGTGCACTTTAAAAAGTAGTTTTTGTTTTTGAGTGTTTTTTTTTCGTTTAATCTTCTTAGAAAGTAATAGGATCATGTGTATGTGTGTGTGTGTGTTTAAACAATGATGATATGATTCTTTTTGGGGTGAGAATTTAAATTTGTGTTTCATTTAAAGGAAATTGTTTCTTAAAAATTAAGACTATTTTCATTTTTTTGTGTGTTTCTCATTTGGTATTGCCTTGGCGGAAGGTCAAAGGGAGAGAGAACAAGGGCGAGAGCGAGAGAGAGGATGAGAATATGTGTTTAACTATTAAATATTAATAACTTAATAATAGGCTTGTTTAATAGCGGCACTGGTTATTAAAAACGCTGATCCAATCAACAAGAAAGTGATAATTTTAAGAGCACTTGGCCTTCCGGAAGAATCTGTGAAGAGTAAAAGAAAAATGAATGGTTTTCATTAATTTAATATCAAATTTGGGTATAACAATAATACTCACTTTTCTTACTGGGCGCAACGCGATAACAAATCTTTTGTTCAACATCAGTCTGATAGCCGATTTTACATTGACACACTGAGTTACGGCATTCCACATTTTCCGGTTCCTTTTCGGCAAAACATTCACTAGCTCTGGTACAAGCTTCGCCAAGTGCTGGAATGGGAATTCAGGTTTTTAGAATAAAACCAGTAAAGAAAGTCTTAAAGTCGGGCGGGGCCGACTTTATGATACCCTACACCACTTTGCTAATTAAGTAGAGCTCCACATATGCATATTACGGTTGTGGGTAACAAATATAACAAATCGGATGAATAATATATATGGAAGCTATAGCTATATCTGAACCGATCTTCACCAAATTTGACATACTAGCTTCTAGACTCAATTCGGTCGTAAGTGCCAAGTTCCATCCCATTTGGACAAATATTAGACGTTTGGTGCACAATAAAAGGTAAATCGGGCGAAGTTATATATGGGAGCTATATCCAAATCTGAACCGATCTCGATAAAATTTAACAAATGTATTTCTGAGCTGTATTTGATATATTTCCCCAAATATTGTTGTTGCATAGTGCATATTACGGCGGCGGTGGAAAAAAATAACAAATCGGATGAACAATATATATGGGAGCTATAGCTATATCTGAACCGATTTCGATCAAATTTGACATACATATTTTCAGGCCTAATTTGGGTGTTTATGCAAAATTCGGGCTGATATTACACGTTTGGTGCACAATAAAAGGCAATTCGGACGAAGATATATATGGGAGCTATATCTAAATTTTGACCGATTGTCTCCAATTTCAATAGGGTTCGTCCTTGGGCCAAACAAAAGATCTTTGCAAAATTTCATCTGGATCGGGCAATAAATGCGACCTGTACTTTGTTTACAAAAATACATGGACAGACGGACGGACGGACGGACATGCATAAATCGACTCAGAATGTGATTATATGCAGATCATCAAAAGGAACTACGGGTCTATCTCGTTTCCTTCTGCCTGTTACAAACAAATGCACAAAGACATAATACCCTGACCACCTTGTGGTGTAGGGTATAAATATTTAAATGCATACAACAAAGAACTTTTAAGACTGTGCTATTTTAAATTCATTGACCTCAGTTACACAGCAACAAATGCCTAGCCCTCTTTAAAAATCCTAGAGAGAGGGTACCCATTTCCAAAATCACCTCCATATGTCAATTCCAAATACTAACAGAAACCTCAATATCAAAATTCAACTCTATTCCTTCATCCAATCCCATTGGAACTATTTATCCCTTGGTACTATTTAGTACTTTTCGTATAATTATAGTACACATTTTCAAATTCACCTCCATAAATCGATCACAGATACCGAGAGACTTCAATATCAAATTTTGAGATTTCAGTTCCATCCCTTCACCCAATAGCCAATTTAGTACCGCTTAGTACTTTTCGTAGAATTATTGTACGCATTTCCAAAATCACCTTCATATATTAATCCCAAATACCAACAGAAACCTCAATATAAAATTTCGGGATTCCAGCCCTATTCCTTCACCCAATACCAAATATAGTACCATTTAGTACTTTTTGTACAATTATAGTACACATTTCCAAAACTACCTCTCCATATGTCCAGGCTACACATGAACAGCGAACAAAATACCAACTTAAAGATTTCAAGCGTTATCTGTTCACCCAATACAAATTTGTACCAAATATAGTACTATTTAGTACATTTTGTGCACTTTTGGTACGCATTTCCAAAACCACCTCTTTATAACAAACCCACTACCAGCAGCTTCATCCGCTCATCATATAATAAACTGTTCCAAATTTAGTACAGTTCGCACACTTAGTACACATTTCCAAACCACTTTCATATATCAAACATACTTTGCAAACATGATTCTCATTCCAAATTTCAAGTTTGTAGCTCATCATCTATCCTGCTCTTCAGCAGAGACTCTTATTTCAAAATCTAGCTCATTCTGTTTGTCCAATATTCAATTTTTGATACATTTTAGTACTTTTCGCACCTCTTTAGTACGAATTTTAAAAAACTATCTACTCGCAGAGATTACGGACTTTAAGCTTTTAACTCTGCCGCCTTACCTTTTTTGGATTCGCAACGTCCATTTTGGAAATGTTGTTCTTCGCTGCAGGAACATTTACGATTAACGCAGGTGGCCAATAAGGGTTTACACTGATCTGTCTCCTCACATTCTTCTTCAATTTCCTCAGCTGGAAAAGGGAGAATCCGTAAATATATATCCTTATAAGTCATTCACTCAAACATTTCCACCAACCTTCTTTCAAACACTCATCCTTGAAATGGACAAAACCTTTACGACACTGGCACGACTTGCGTTGTTCTTCGGCACCGGTACTGGAAGTTGTTGCCTCGCATTTGGCATTTGCAACATTAACACACTCATCATCATCTAAGCATTCAGCACCAAGGCCTAAAAAGTCCAGAGAAACAGACAGAGCCATTGTAATCAACTGGAATACAAAACTGCAATTATTTTCCCTTCATACCTGGTACACATTGATTATTTTCTTGGATGAAACCATCTTTGCAGACACAGCGACGATTCGAACAGATTGCATGTTCTATGGGACAGGCATCATTGGAATCACATTCCGCACCCATGCCCTGATTGTAGACACACATTTCCAAGAGGGCGTCATATTCGGCGTACTCCTCACAGGTGCATCGTCTAGGAATATCGGGTTGGCAATAGGCAGCACCAAATGGACTACATTGGCTATTTGATGTACAGGAGAGGTGATATTGTATAGCTGTGTGTGAGAGAGAGAGAGAGAGTGGGAGTAAAACCAACATTTATTATTTTCCGAATGGAAAAGGCAAGAACGCCACACTTACGTTTACGACATCCTCTGAGATTCCTCTCGAAAAAGAAATTCTTTTGGCAAATACATTTTTTGGATACAGCATCAAATTCATTTTCACACTCATCTGTACTTTCCGCTATCTCACCCAGTTCTGATAGGAAAAAGGAAAAATAAATACAAATAAATGTTTAATAAAAGTTTTGAAAAATTAAATAATGAAAAAAAAAAAACAGTTGTCGATAATAAGATTAGGTCTGTTCCAGAACTACAAGATTATAAAAGTTGTTACTACGATAACCGATTTTCCCTTTATGATATCGAAGGAAATTGCAAAGCTGCTAGATTCTTGCAGGTTCTTGAACAGAACAAAATCACCAACTTTTTTGTGGAAAATGATGTCGATAACAAACTTTTCTGTGGAAAATGTTGTCGATAACCAACTTTTCTGTGGAAAATGTTGTCGATAACCAACTTTTCTATGGAAAATGTTGTCGATAACCAACTTTTCTATGGAAAATGTTGTCGATAACCAATTTTTGTGGAAAATGTTGTCGATAACCAACTTTTCTATAGAAAATGTTGTCGATAACCAACTTTTCTATAGAAAATGTTGTCGATAATCAACTTTTCTATAGAAAATGTTGTCGATAATCAACTTTTCTATAGAAAATGTGGTCGATAATCAACTTTTCTTTAGAAAATGTTGTCGATAATCAACTTTTCTTTAGAAAATGTTGTCGATAATCAACTTTTCTATAGAAAATGTTGTCGATAATCAACTTTTCTATAGAAAATGTTGTCGATAATCAACTTTTCTATAGAAAATGTTGTCGATAATCAACTTTCCTATAGAAAATGTTGTCGATAATCAACTTTCCTATAGAAAATGTTGTCGATAATCAAACTTTTTATAGAAAATGTTGTCGATAATCAACTTTTCTATAGAAAATGTTGTCGATAATCAACTTTTCTATAGAAAATGTTGTCGATAATCAACTTTTCTATAGAAAATGTTGTCGATAATCAACTTTTCTATAGAAAATGTTGTCGATAATCAACTTTTCTATAGAAAATGTTGTCGATAATCAATTTTTCTATAGAAAATGTTGTCGATAATCAACTTTTCTATAGAAAATGTTGTCGATAATCAACTTTTCTATAGAAAATGTTGTCGATAATCAACTTTTCTATAGAAAATGTTGTCGATAATCAACTTTTCTATAGAAAATGTTGTCGATAATCAACTTTTCTATAGAAAATGTTGTCGATAATCAACTTTTCTATAGAAAATGTGGTCGATAATCAACTTTTCTATAGAAAATGTGGTCGATAATCAACTTTTCTATAGAAAATGTGGTCGATAATCAACTTTTCTATAGAAAATGTGGTCGATAATCAACTTTTCTATAGAAAATGTGGTCGATAATCAACTTTTCTTTAGAAAATGTTGTCGATAATCAACTTTTCTTTAGAAAATGTTGTCGATAATCAACTTTTCTTTAGAAAATGTTGTCGATAATCAACTTTTCTTTAGAAAATGTTGTCGATAATCAACTTTTCTATAGAAAATGTTGTCGATAATCAACTTTTCTATAGAAAATGTTGTCGATAATCAACTTTTCTATAGAAAATGTTGTCGATAATCAACTTTTCTATAGAAAATGTTGTCGATAATCAACTTTTCTATAGAAAATGTTGTCGATAATCAACTTTTCTATAGAAAATGTTGTCGATAATCAACTTTTCTATAGAAAATGTTGTCGATAATCAACTTTTCTATAGAAAATGTTGTCGATAATCAACTTTTCTATAGAAAATGTGGTCGATAATCAACTTTTCTATAGAAAATGTGGTCGATAATCAACTTTTCTATAGAAAATGTGGTCGATAATCAACTTTTCTATAGAAAATGTGGTCGATAATCAACTTTTCTATAGAAAATGTGGTCGATAATCAACTTTTCTATAGAAAATGTGGTCGATAATCAACTTTTCTATAGAAAATGTGGTCGATAATCAACTTTTCTATAGAAAATGTGGTCGATAATCAACTTTTCTATAGAAAATGTGGTCGATAATCAACTTTTCTATAGAAAATGTGGTCGATAATCAACTTTTCTATAGAAAATGTTGTCGATAAACAACTTTTCTATAGAAAATGTTGTCGATAAACAACTTTTCTATAGAAAATGTTGTCGATAAACAACTTTTCTATAGAAAATGTTGTCGATAACCAACTTTTCTATAGAAAATGTTGTCGATAACCAACTTTTCTATAGAAAATGTTGTCCATAACCAACTTTTCTATAGAAAATGTTGTCCATAACCAACTTTCTATAGAAAATGTTGTCGATAACCAACTTTTCTATAGAAAATGTTATCGATAACCAACTTTTCTATAGAAAATGTTGTCGATAACCAACTTTTCTATAGAAAATGTTGTCGATAATCCACTTTTCTATAGAAAATGTTGTCGATAGTCAACTTTTCTATAGAAAATGTTGTCGATAGTCAACTTTTCTATAGAAAATGTTGTCGATAGTCAACTTTTCTATAGAAAATGTTGTCGATAGTCAACTTTTCTGTAGAAAATGTTGTCGATAGTCAACTTTTCTAAAGAAAATGTTGTCGATAGTCAACTTTTCTATAGAAAATGTGGTCGATAATCAACTTTTCTATAGAAAATGTGGTCGATAATCAACTTTTCTATAGAAAATGTGGTCGATAATCAACTTTTCTATAGAAAATGTGGTCGATAATCAACTTTTCTATAGAAAATGTGGTCGATAATCAACTTTTCTATAGAAAATGTGGTCGATAATCAACTTTTCTATAGAAAATGTGGTCGATAATCAACTTTTCTATAGAAAATGTGGTCGATAATCAACTTTTCTATAGAAAATGTTGTCGATAAACAACTTTTCTATAGAAAATGTTGTCGATAAACAACTTTTCTATAGAAAATGTTGTCAATAAACAACTTTTCTATAGAAAATGTTGTCGATAACCAACTTTTCTATAGAAAATGTTGTCGATAACCAACTTTTCTATAGAAAATGTTGTCCATAACCAACTTTTCTATAGAAAATGTTGTCCATAACCAACTTTTCTATAGAAAATGTTGTCGATAACCAACTTTTCTATAGAAAATGTTATCGATAACCAACTTTTCTATAGAAAATGTTGTCGATAACCAACTTTTCTATAGAAAATGTTGTCGATAATCCACTTTTCTATAGAAAATGTTGTCGATAGTCAACTTTTCTATAGAAAATGTTGTCGATAGTCAACTTTTCTATAGAAAATGTTGTCGATAGTCAACTTTTCTGTAGAAAATGTTGTCGATAGTCAACTTTTCTAAAGAAAATGTTGTCGATAGTCAACTTTTCTATAGAAAATGTGGTCGATAATCAACTTTTCTATAGAAAATGTGGTCGATAATCAACTTTTCTATAGAAAATGTGGTCGATAATCAACTTTTCTATAGAAAATGTGGTCGATAATCAACTTTTCTATAGAAAATGTGGTCGATAATCAACTTTTCTTTAGAAAATGTTGTCGATAATCAACTTTTCTTTAGAAAATGTTGTCGATAATCAACTTTTCTTTAGAAAATGTTGTCGATAATCAACTTTTCTTTAGAAAATGTTGTCGATAATCAACTTTTCTATAGAAAATGTTGTCGATAATCAACTTTTCTATAGAAAATGTTGTCGATAATCAACTTTTCTATAGAAAATGTTGTCGATAATCAACTTTTCTATAGAAAATGTTGTCGATAATCAACTTTTCTATAGAAAATGTTGTCGATAATCAACTTTTCTATAGAAAATGTTGTCGATAATCAACTTTTCTATAGAAAATGTTGTCGATAATCAACTTTTCTATAGAAAATGTTGTCGATAATCAACTTTTCTATAGAAAATGTCGATAATCAACTTTTCTATAGAAAATGTTGTCGATAATCAACTTTTCTATAGAAAATGTTGTCGATAGTCAACTTTTCTATAGAAAATGTTGTCGATAGTCAACTTTTCTGTAGAAAATGTTGTCGATAGTCAACTTTTCTATAGAAAATGTTGTCGATAGTCAACTTTTCTATAGAAAATGTTGTCGATAGTCAGTTTTTCTATAGAAAATGTTGCCGATATACAACTTCTCTATAGATAATGTTGTCGATAACCAACTTTTCTATAAGAAATGTTGTCGATAACCGACTTTTCTATAGAAAATGTTGTCGATAACCGACTTTTCTATAGAAAATGTTGTCGATAACCGACTTTTCTATAGAAAATGTTGTCGATAACCGACTTTTCTATAGAAAATGTTGTCGATAACCGACTTTTCTATAGAAAATGTTGTCGATAACCGACTTTTTTTTAGAAAATGTTGTCGATAATCAACTTTTCTTTAGAAAATGTTGTCGATAATCAACTTTTCTATAGAAAATGTTGTCGATAATCAACTTTTCTATAGAAAATGTTGTCGATAATCAACTTTTCTATATAAAATGTTGTCGATAATCAACTTTTCTATATAAATGTTGTCGATAATCAACTTTTCTATAGAAAATGTTGTCGATAATCAACTTTTCTATAGAAAATGTTGTCGATAATCAACTTTTCTATAGAAAATGTTGTCGATAATCAACTTTTCTATAGAAAATGTTGTCGATAATCAACTTTTCTATAGAAAATGTTGTCGATAATCAACTTTTCTATAGAAAATGTTGTCGATAATCAACTTTTCTATAGAAAATGTGGTCGATAATCAACTTTTCTATAGAAAATGTTGTCGATAAACAACTTTTCTATAGAAAATGTTGTCGATAAACAACTTTTCTATAGAAAATGTTGTCGATAAACAACTTTTCTATAGAAAATGTTGTCGATAAACAACTTTTCTATAGAAAATGTTGTCGATAAACAACTTTTCTATAGAAAATGTTGTCGATAAACAACTTTTCTATAGAAAATGTTGTCGATAAACAACTTTTCTATAGAAAATGTTGTCGATAAACAACTTTTCTATAGAAAATGTTGTCGATAAACAACTTTTCTATAGAAAATGTTGTCGATAAACAACTTTTCTATAGAAAATGTTGTCGATAAACAACTTTTCTATAGAAAATGTTGTCGATAAACAACTTTTCTATAGAAAATGTTGTCGATAACCAACTTTTCTATAGAAAATGTTGTCGATAACCAACTTTTCTATAGAAAATGTTGTCCATAACCAACTTTTCTATAGAAAATGTTGTCCATAACCAACTTTTCTATAGAAAATGTTGTCGATAACCAACTTTTCTATAGAAAATGTTATCGATAACCAACTTTTCTATAGAAAATGTTGTCGATAACCAACTTTTCTATAGAAAATGTTGTCGATAATCCACTTTTCTATAGAAAATGTTGTCGATAATCCACTTTTCTATAGAAAATGTTGTCGATAACCAACTTTTCTATAGAAAATGTTGTCGATAACCAACTTTTCTATAGAAAATGTTGTCGATAACCAACTTTTCTATAGAAAATGTTGTGGATAACCAACTTTTCTATAGAAAATGTTGTCCATAACCAACTTTTCAATTGAAAATGTTGTCGATAACCAACTTTTCCATAGAAAATGATGTCAATAACCAAAAATCTTCCACGAAATCTTTTAAAAATCTTTTAAATAACACATGTTGACGATAACCAACTTTTCTTCAGAAAATGTTGTAGAAAGTTTGTTGATAACAACATTTTCCACAGAAAACGCGATGAACAACATTTGTATGTAAATATATAGAAGTGTCTATGCGTGTGTTACTTACCAGCAAAACATTTCCCATTTTTGGGATAGTAGCCAGGCTTGCACAAGCATATACCACTGGAACAAATGGAATGAGGAAGTCCAGAGCAGGATTTACCATTTTCTGTACAGGAGCTACCAACTGAAATTTCGTGGAAATTAAAAACTGGTTTCAAAATCTATATTTGGTTGACTTACAATTCCTATTCTCGATATCGTCATCAGTGTTCGACACAGTTGAAAAAGTTTTTTCATCATCATCAAAACGAAATAGGGTTGGGCGGCGTCTTTGTTTCGAGGGTCGGCGGCTGCTCGAACTCGTGGAGGCGGTTGTGACGGTACCAACATTTTTTGTACGCGGTGCTAGAAATTTCAACTCAAATGTATCGATGCTAGTTTGGACGGCAATTTCCCGAGATCGTTGTTGTCGTTTCTGTTCTTCGGCTTCGGCGTGTTTGCTAACATAAATCGGCTCAAAATCGATGCTGGTACCGGTGTCCCGTAGCTGATGCTTGGGCGTCTCAGCGTGTACAACCTGCTCGTCCTCGGGTTCTGGCTCGGTTGAAATACCCTCGGAGTCGGTGTCGCTAATGCTTCTAAAGTCGATGTTGCCGTTTACCAATTTCGTTTGTTTATCTAAAGCGCTGTCGTCGCTGGGCGATGATTTCGAGAGATTCGATGTGGTTTCAGATGATGTTGTTGTGGAAGTTTGTCTTTTCGTCGTCGTTGTTGTTGTTATTTTGTTGTTTAGTATAATGTTGTTGTTGTTGTTGCTGTGGATATTATTGTTTCCGTTATTGTTGTTGTTTAGTTTGTCACTGTTGTTGTTGTTGAGTGTTTTTAGTTTTGTTGCTGTCGCATTGTCCGCTTGAATTTCATCCACATATTGACATTTCAAATTGACACATTTGACATTAGCTCCTAAATCCTGACAATCGGCAGAGACGACACAAGCATCATCAATGTCTGTGGAGACATAGAGAGAGAGGGAGAAAGAGAGTGTTTTAAAGGTTATTATTAAAGAGAATGAAGATTTTGTAGGCTGTAAAAATCCCTACTCACCCATTGATTTACGTCGGCATATGTTGCCATGTCTCTGATAATATCCATTGGCACAAGTACAGAGATTATTTTGACATTGGACCGAATTACGATCGTAACCAAAATAACAATCCAGATCACTGTCACAATACTGATTGAGGCCATTCAATGGGCGACAGCGACCGTGCATATAGGTTTCATCATCGGCACAAGCACAGACCCCCGACTTACAATAGGCTCCCGCTGGCATAAGATTGCATTGAACGCTGTCTTCACATTCGTCACCATAGAGTGACGTCTTCAGACATTTTGAGAAATCGCTTGAGAATACCTGAGTCGGATCATTGCATTCGCATTGGCCACGGATGGGATTGCAATTGGAATCGGTAGCAGTGCAATCGGCATCCTCCTCACATGGCCAATAGTAAGCGTTGATAGCTGTAAGAAAAAAAAGAAAAAACAAATTAATAAAAATGTAAAACAATTGGCGATAAGAGTGGTGTTGGCAACATGTCAAAGTTGCCGTCAAATATATTTTGATGTGTCATTATCTTCTTAAAGGTAACAACATTGTAAGCAATGCTATTTAGCTGATAAGACCTGGTTTCTTATCGTTTTGAGTTTTATTATTCACTCTTTTTTTCTGAACAGGTGTCCAATTTGCGTTAACGTCTTTTGATAATCTATATCAACTTAACAATTGATAACAGAACGAATAGCTGGAAACTTGGTTTACCGGATTAGAGAAATTATAAAATCCAATCATCCAAAATAACACCCATTTGGATTGGCCACCAGACTGAGTGGTAATCATTACGAACTTTATATGCCAATAAAAAAAAATAAATATTTGGTGGCAATACTTAAACAAAAACGGACCTGTATAAAGAACCTGCCAAAGAAGGCTTTGCCTATTGCAAACTCCAAATACCAATTTTGAGAAAATTCCGTTAAAGTTGTGACTAAAATCGGCAAATTACCGAATATCGGAAGCTACCATTATTTATTGAGGACTTGCAAGTGTCCGTTACTTCCTCTGCGCAAAGTACAACTTGAAATTTAAGATTCGTTCCAAAAGTTCGTGTTAGGCATTTTTATACCCTCCACCATAGTATGGAGGGTACGTTAAGTTTGTCATTCGTTTGTAACACCTCGAAATTTACATTGTAGACTCCTTAATCAGCACAAAATTCTATGTCGATTTAGCGATTAGTTCCAAAAGTTCGTGTTAGCCATTTTTATACCCTCCACCATAGTATGGAGGGTATATTAAGTTTGTCATTCCGTTTGTAACACCTCGAAATTTATATTGTAGACTCCTTGATCAGCACAAAATTCTATGTCGATTAAGCGATGTCCTTCCGTCTGTCAATCTGTGGAAATCACTTTAGCTTCCGAAGGCAGGTTGATCAAATTTTACACAGAAGTATCTTTGGTCTGCAGAACTTTTGGAATTGAAAATGGGCATATAGGTCCACGTTTAGGTATAGCCCCCTCATAAGTGTTCCACCCTATGTTCGGTATTTTGTTGCTTTTATCGACATTCTTTGCCGGAATTATTCCAGATTTCGTATTTGCAGTTTCTAAAAGGTACTATAGACTGTGACAATAAATTGCCTTTGCAGGTCCAGGTCTTCGTATACCCCCATATAACCTTAACTCCCTATATTCGGTATTTTGATTTCGTATTTGCAGTTCGTAACAGGTAATACAGCCTGTGACAGAAAATTTGCTATGTAGATCCAGGTATTCGTATAGCCGCCTAAATAACAACACCTTCCTATATTCGGTATTTTGATGATATTAGCGACACTATTCACAGGAATTGTTTAAAATTTCGTATTCGTAGTTCGTAATGGGTACTGCAGCCTGTGACAGACAATTGTCAATGCAGCCTATAGCCATATAACGGAACTTCTCCATATTCGGTATTTTGTTGATTTTAGGGAATTTATTCACCGGAATAGTTTTAAATTTGGTATTGAAAAATCCTAATTGATACTACAATCTATGACAGAAAATTTTCTATGCAGGTTCAGGTCTTCGTATAGCCCCAAAATATCTGCACATCCTTTTTGATGATTTTAGAGAAATTATTCGCCGCAATTGTTTCAAATTTGGACCCACTAAAACTATTTCAACATCTCCATTGGTAAACCCCAGAAACCAACAGTGACCTCAATATCAAATTTCAGGAATTCAGCTCTGTTCACCGATTACCGTTTGTTACAATTATAGCACGCATATCCAAAACCAGCTACTTTTTTCAAACCACAGACACCAAAAGTTACCTCGATATCAAATCTATCTATTCACCTAATACCAAATTAAGTGTTCATAGCCAAAAAATCTACATCTCTCCATCCCAGACACCGAGAGCGACTCAAACTTTGTAGCATTTAGTACTTTTCGAACTATTATAGTGAACAATTCCGAAAACACCTTTATATGCACTTGTCAAAGAGGTCCGCTGAAAATGTGCACCTTCGGTTGGCCACCAGAACTCAAGCGCCGGCCATGGTAATGATGTGGGCCCCCATAACAACCGATGGTTGCTTTCCGCTCGTATTAATCGACCGTGACATCAGAATAAATGCCGAATATTATCGCGAACATAGTCTGGAGGGTGTATTAAAGCATTGGTCACGCAAACATTTTGGTCGCAGACCTTAGACATTCCAACAGGATTCAAAACCATCGCATTCAGCACGCACCACCCATGAATGGTTACAAAATGAGGTTCCTCGCTTCATTTCTATCGCAAAATCTCTGGATACAAATCCGTTGGACTATTGTGTCTGGAGTGTTTTGGAAAGTAACTTTGGCACTAAAAAATACCAAAGTGTCGATCATCTCAAGTAAGCGCTTCGCCGGGAATGAGCAAAAATACCGCAGAGCAATATCCGGGAAGCGTGTGACGGTTTCAGTGGCCGTTTGAAGGCCATAATTCGTGCCAAAGGTGACCAATTCGAACAAATCTAAATTTATTCTAAAATTTGATGCTATTTCCGACATTTTTGCTTTCATTCAATAAAATTGCAAAAAAAATTAAAAATATGGTCAACAATCTAAGTAATCATAACACAAACCAAAATATATTTAAATAATCAGACATTGGCTGAGAGTATACATCTGTCGGCTAAACCGACTGATACTTTTTAACTTGTTTTTCATGTAACAGTAACCTAATCTAGCCATATGTTATTTCTAAATTTCGTTCTTAATCATAGCCACATAACCTCTAAAACAGAATATCGAAAAGAAAATCATCTCCCTTTCAAGACTTCTTTACAGTTTCAAATTTCAAAGTGTTTTAATAGTCAATTCAAATTTCAATTTCGTGAGTCTTTTTTAATTCTGTTTAAAAACTAATTTACCAAAAACTTTAAATTTATTTATAAATTTACATTTTTAATATAACGAACGAATGAAAAAAACAAGAAATAGTTCCACATATTTTTGTCATGTCATGTCGTTTCGACGCTCGCTCGTTCGTCAAGTTTTGATAAGAACTAACACTTGTTCAACAACCAACACGACATTGCCCCTCTTGCGACGACGAAAAAGAAAAAATGTTAGCACGAATATTTTTTGTTTTTTTTTTTTCGTTCTTTTCACCGAATATATAAATCTTATTCGGCCATGGAGAAGGGGAATTGAAGGACAAAAGGGGAAAAGTTAGTTAATCAAATGTTTCACATACTAAAAGGTTCAACACCTGGCAAATGTTAAAAAAGACCAACGACACATGCTTCGAATACATTTACACACACTGAGAGATATACATTCATGAACCTTAAGATGGGATGAAATTTTGAAAATAGTTTTCAATTTTTTTTTTAAGGTGAACTGAACAGAAGGAAAGTATACTCAAAAGAACTAAAGAGTTGCTTCGCTTGGCCGAAAGTGGTAAACTGTCGAATTTAGTTTTCTCCCATGATAAAACATTCGTTGTCCTGCAGTTTGTAAACAAACAAAATAATCGTGTTTACTTGTCAAAGAGGTTAGCTGAAAATATGCACCTTCGGTTGGCCACCAGAACTTAAGCGCCGGTCATGGTGATGGTGTGGGCCATAACAGCCGATGGTCGCTCCCCGCTCGTATTAATCGACTGTGGCATCAGATTAAATGCCAAATATTATCGCGAAAATATTCTGGAGGGTGTATTAAAGCCTTTTGGCCGGAGACCTTGGACATTCCATCAGGACTCAGCACCATCGCACTCAGCACGCGTCACCCAAGGATGGTTAGAAAATGAGGTTCCTCGCCTAATTTCCAGCGCACAATGGCCACCAAAATCTCCGGATCCGTTGGACTTTTGTGTCTGGAGTATTTTGGAAAGCAAGGTTGGCATCACCTCAAGCAAGCGCTTGGCCGGGAATGGGCCAAAATACCGCAGAGCAACATTCGAGCAGCGTGTGACGGTTTCATTATCACTATGTGTTGGTAAGGGTATTATGTCTTTTTTCCATTCTTTAATGGAATTGTCTGAAGGAGTTCTCTGTAAGTACTTTACCGCCTGAAAGAGAATTGTCTATATAGGTCCAGGATATCGTGTATCCACCATATAACTGTAACTCCTGATATTCGGTATTTTGATGACTTTAGTCACATTTTTCAATTGCATTGTCTGAAATTTTACACAAGGAGTCCTCTGTGAGCAATTTAACCCCTGAAAGAGATTTTCTATATAGGTCCACGATATCGTATAGTCCTCCTCTTTTTTCAATGGAATGGTCTAAAAATCCACACAAAGGGTTCCTTCTGAATACTTACCCCCTAAAAGAGAATTGTCTAAATAGGTCCACGATGTCATATATCCCCCATATAACTGTACCTCCCGATAATCGGTATTTTTATAATTTTTGCCACATTTTTCAAGGGCACAGTATAAAAATCCGCACTAGGAGTTCCCTCTGAATACTTTATCTCCTGGAAGTGAATTGTCTATATAGGTCCAAGGTGTCGTATATACCCCGACATTCGGTTTTTTTATGGTTGCCCCATTTTTCAATGGAATAGTCTGAAAATCCACACAAGGAGTTCTGAGTACATTACTTCCTGGAAGAGAATTGTCTATATAGGTCTACGTTTTAGTATAGCACCCATCTAACGCTACCCCGAGATATTCGGTATTTCCAGGATTTTCCCAACATTATTCACCGGAATTGTGTCAAATTTCGTATTTGAAGTTCGTAATGGGTACTACAACATATGACGGAAAATCGTCTATGCAGGTCCACGTTTTAGTATAGCCCCCATGAAACGGTACCTCCCTTTATTTGGTATCTTGATGATATAAGGGACATTATAAACCGGAATTGTTTTGAATTTCGGAATCGATACTACAGCCTATGACAGAAAATTTCATATCCAGCACCACGTCTTCGTATAGCCCCCATATAAAGGTTTTCATTTGAGAGGTATTTTTCGACGTT